CGGTGCGGGACTCGGTGGCGTCTTCTCGGGGACAGTCGCGTTCCGCCTGCCCGAGGGTGAGCTTGAACGCATTCGTGTCTTTCCCTCGCTACAGAAGGAACTTCGTGCATCACACCGGGCAGAGAGATCTCCGGCTCGGGACGCGCTGCCATCCAGCGGCAGGGAGAGCCCGGGGCAGGCGCGGCTCCCGCTTTCACTGAAACACAAGAGTTTCGGCTTTAGAAATGTCGAACCGTTTCCAGAAGATTCACGTCGCTTTGGCGTTTTTAATGGAGCTGTAGAGATAATGCTGTGAGCTTCCAGAAAACGCTGATGAGGAAGCCCACAGTCTACCATCCTTTACAAAGAAAAGCAAAAATGTTCTATGTAGTAACACCTTTTTTCTGCTGTTAGAGACACCAAAGTGTCAGCCCTGAAACACTCCGTTTCAGGCTGAGCTGCTCTCCCTTGGTTCTTAGGTGGTATCGAGACGTTTGTTTCACGTAAGTAGCGCCTGGTCTGGAGCGTGGGGTTTCCAAAGGGTTGGCATATCTTCAGCAGCCACAGAGAAAGATTAAACTGCTTTAAGGAAAACTGGGAATTAATAAACCTGAGAGCAGTCACCTTTGAGTTTTTGAATGGAAACAATAGCTCTCTGTTTGCCAGAAACTTGCGATCGGGTGATAACGGGTTGCAGCAGCTCTGCAAAGGGGACGTGAACGTGTGGCACAGGGCAAACGGAGTAACGCGCTGCTCAGCCCAAGGTTACTCAGGCAAACCTTTACGCCGCCCGGGAGGAAAAAAGCTTCACTGCACCGTTGTTAGGCCATCTGACATGTTTTCCTTTATCATGAGCTTCCCCCCAGGGAAAACGGATGACAGAAACGCTCTGTCTGCAGAGAAACAAGTCCCATGGCTGCTCCCGACTTAGTTCTCCGCCTTGGGAAGGCATCACGAGAGGAAATCGTACTTTGTAGGAGCTGGGATGTTGCTTTATCATTCCTTTCTTGGTTTTGACAGCGGCTCCCACCTGGGAAACTGGCTCAAAGACTTGCCATGAAGTGCCCTGGATCTCCAGAGAGCTCAAGACTTGCCTTCTTCCTGGAAAATGCCTTAGCCAGAGAGGCTAGGGTTTGGAAAGTGCCCCCTTTCCAGAATCTCACCCTGAAGGTATTCTCCCCTGTCCTCTTTGGAAGTGCCTAAGGGACTCTGCAGGGATGCAGTGCTGGTCCTGCCATCTAACCCACCGCGGTGCCACGTGGACTAAGCTTAAGGAAAGGAGGGGGAGTGGGGGGTCTGTACTTGTCCCATCTTGCATCTTACTAAGGCCCCCTGTAAACCAGGTGCTTTGCATTTTGCTTTGGCTCAAGTAGTTTTGGGAAATCTGATGGAGCAGGTAAGAGCAGACAATGGGCAGTGAAGCCATATGTGTCACGTCAGTTAACTGTGCTCGACCCCACCTTCGAGCCCCCTCTATTCGGGTGGGAGAAGAGGGAATTCAATGGGGCCTGGCAGCAACCTGGCCCCATTCCCTGCTGGTAAAGCCAGCCAGCCTGCTCCCTTAGGAACCTGCCGCACTCCACAGCCCTCTGTGCACAACGGGAAGTTACACGCCGCTGCTTCTGGGGAGTGCATCAGCTCTGTGAGAGAATGCACAAAACTGCCCTGGCAGCCTTGGCTGTTCTTCACAATAGTGGAGAAAGGCTATTTTTTATCATTTATCATTATCATTATTATTATCATTTTTTTAAAATGATTTGGTAGTAAAAATATGTGATAAAAATAATGCAAGATAGTGGAACGGATAATGTGATGAGTAATAATAATTCTATAATATTAATCAAGTTGGTGATAAATGTCTGTTCTGTGCAGCTGCTCGGCCTTCTCAGTTCTGCTACAGTAACGTCCAAACGCGTGCCGTGGGTCATGTGTGGCTTTGTACCTGCAGCCAAAGTCCCTCCTCTAGCCTGAATGCATCTTCAAATAAGTTATAAGAAAGAAAAATACTGAGTATGTTTTGCTTTGTGCCTTGGGGGAGTCATAAACTCAAGGGCTGTTTAAAAAAAACACCCAAAACTTGCAGAGTAAATCAGAACCTGCTCCTGATCCCAGTTTCTCTCTCCCTGTCCAGGCTGTCTGAATGAAATGTGCTGCCGCAGAGGCTTCAGTCCCCTCTGGAGTGGGAAATAATGAGCACACTCAGCACCTTGTTTGTCAGAGCTTGGTGGGGCGGTTCAGGTGTGCAGGGGGAGGGCTGCACCTCCATTCAGAGCTCCAGTAAATTCCAGTATCGGGCCCTTGTGAGCACGGCTGGAGCCCGACTGGGTGGGCAACACAAGCGAGTGCTTTAAACTGCTCTGAAATTCGCCCTTGCCCTCACTCTGTAGACACAGCCAACAACTTTCTTCATTTCAAGCCTCCAGACATCTGAAATGTTAATTAGAGCATGGTCTGAATCTTCCTTTGGAGATATGTTAATAAAATCATCAAAGCACTAACAGTATTTCTCTTCTCCCCCTCAGGGCACAGATATCTCTCTATTGTGTTACAAGAAAGCGGTTCTCTGGATTGCAGAAATCAGCTCCCAGTTCCAGTTTTACCCTGAAACATTTGCCTTAGCTACCAGCATCCTTAACCGGTTATTGGCATCCGTAAAGGTAGAGAATCTCCGTCAGCTTTTTCCTGGCCAGATTACCGACTGGGGATGTGAGGAGCATGTAGTCAGTTTGTACACAAAGCGGGCGCTCTGCCTGGCAGCAGATTTAGGGAGAGCTCAGGGGCTGGGCTGGGGAAGCTTTTTAAGCGTACGTACGTATCTGGGCTCGAGGGTTGGATGAGGTTCTGCTGGTGCACGGGCCTCGGTAGATGTGTGGTGTGAATTCTAGTCTGAATGCCGTGCTACGTACAAAGAACTCGCCGTCATCCCGTTGTCTCTGCTAAACCAAACATTCGCATTATCACTTTCAATATTTTAACATTGAAACTGCTATTTTTAACCAAACCGTGGGGCCAACTTCTGCTCTCCTAGCAAGGCTGTGGGTTGAACAGAGCCTTGCGGCTCTCGACTCCGTTTAGATCGATACCGGCATCGGGCTTAGTTAGTTTAGCTTAGTTAGTTAGCTTAGACACGTTAGTTCGTGTCTCAGCTGAGGAGAGCAATTCCATTGCGCTGGAAACACTGTGGCTTTGCACAGTCTAAAAACTCGGGGCTACGTGTATAAAAATTGCACCAAGAAGAGGGTTTATTTTGTTTCATTTTGGATTCCCTTGCTCTATTTCCTGCTTCAAATGACTCTTTCTGCAGCTAAACTCATTCAGAGGCAGCTGTAACTTTAAGTTTGAAACTTGGGCATCTGTCACAGAACACCAATTATTTTCCCCAAGGCTTTTATCTTCTTTACTCAGTGTTTTCTTTTTCTTCTCCCCTCAGGCCCAATTAAAATATCTTCAGTGCATAGCAATTTCCTGCCTTGTCCTTGCAGCAAAAACCAGTGAAGAAGATGAGGTCTGTATGTTTAAACACACTAAACTAATCTCTTGTCTTCAAGTTGCTTGTTTCCAGGTCTTCCAGTGTTGTTTGCCCTCACTTGTTCTTAAGGGGTGACAGGAATGTTTTCAGTCCTGTTTCATCACTGTTTGGGAGAATTGTGACCTTTGTGGGTGAAGGACTTGTATTTTGTTTCTCTCCCGCTGCCCTCAAACCTCTCTCCTCTCTTCGGAACCCACAGCTTGCAGAAAAGCTTAGTCTGGGAGGGACAGCCAAGCTGCAGCGCTTGGTGTGCGCATCAGAGCGCTGTCATTCCTGTGTTAGGGGCGCTGGAGGGGGTGAGGTAGGCGGGACAGAGCAGAGGTTCTTCAGAGGAACTTAAAATAGATGAGTGTGCTTGGAGTCAGAACTGGTTGGGGAGCCTGGTGAGGAAATGACTCAGGTCTGTACCTCAAGGTGAGCACGTAAGATCAGCAACACCTAAGTGTGAGGTTACACAGGACACTCTCATGGCAGAAACGCACCGAGAGACTTCTTCAGGCGTCTGCAGGCGCGAGCCAAAAGCACTTCAGGTTGTGTTTCTCCTCTTCCCTTCATTCTGCTTTGAAAAAGAACGGGAAGCGTAGCAGGTGAAGTCAGACTTGACGTCTCCAGCAGTTGTGCTGTAGCGAGCTGCTCTTCACAGCCGCTCTTGGGATGCGCCACGCTGGGCTCGTTCTTCTCTTCCCCTCCGCTAAAAAGGAGAAGCTGAGTCGATGACCGCCGGAAGCAAGCCAACCACAGACGGCCCTGTGAAACAGGCCTGCAGGAAGCCTCCTCCTCGCCGGAGGAGCAAACCCCACGAGCCTGGCAGCGCGGACGTGCCTCACCCGCGCAGGTCGAGGCGGCTCACGGGGAGCCGGGAGGCTCGCGGCATCGCTCCTGCCGTGGGCTGGGGCTGGAGCCAGCTGCGTGCGCCACTCTTTGCCGGGAGGGGAGTGATCTAGGAACGCGTTCTGCTTGGCACTTCGGGATGTGTATAAACTTGTCAGATCCCTTTGCAGTACAGAGAAACACACAGAGCACCGTGGAGGATGTTGGCTTCTTTATTATTTGTAATGATTTATTTTTTTACAGGTAATACCATCGGTGAGGATGCTCGCGGTGCAGAGTGGCTGCAAACGCTCTCCAGCTGAGATCTTGAGAATGGAAAGGATTATACTAGATAAGCTTCACTGGGATCTTTACACAGCAACACCAGTGGATTTCTTAAACATTGTAAGCACTAAGTTTTGCCATTTTTATTTTTTCTTTAAAGAAACAGCTCCTTATCCAATGAGACTAGAAAACACAGATGCTCACACATACACGCACCCACACATCCTTCCCAAGATGCTTGGCAAGCTACCTGCTCTCAGCTACCTGCAAGTCTTCTGAAGAACGTTGCAGTGGGGTGGGGGGGTCATTTATTTATTTATTAATCTTCTACTATTTAAAACCTTTCATTTTGCTCAAAAAATTTACTCCTGTCTTTAAAGGACAACTGAAATAGACATCAAAAAGATTCTCATACCGCACAACTCTATGCCATTTTTATTTTTTTAAATACACACTGCAAAAATATTTCTAACTATTTCCATTCTATTAATACTGTACATAGAAAGCTGTCAGAGTTTTGCTACATTTCACACACAGGTGGGATTTTTTTTCTTACACCATTTTCCTTTACATCCCACTAAGGATTCACCCCTGTTTCAAGCAACGAGACTACCCCAGTCTGGCACTTAATTCCCACTGCAGTTACCAAACGTTTGATAGAAACAATTAAAACTTTGTCTTCAAGAAATGATCATGTGCTAGTAAGGCAAAATTCATGGGATACGAACACATCCTGGATCCCTTTTTTAAGGTTATGTGCAAATATTAAGCCATCTTAGGCTGCTGATTGTGAAAACTGCCTTTCTTAGGTGCTTGTTTCCTCAGTAAATTCAGGGTGCAGCCGTGATTGTTTACTCTATCCATATCTGCTGGCCTGAACTGAATCTCCTGGATAGCAAGCTGGATAACCTAGAGACTTCAGAAATTCTTAGGAAACACAGACCTTTTACATTCATCATAAGCTCAAAAAAACAGTTCGATGGTTGGCAAGTAAAAACACAAAACACAAAAAAAGGGGGGAGGGAGGGAACCCTTTAGGTTTCCTGATACGAGATGGAATTAGTCTGTACTTGTGGTTGGTAACATGAAAACATACAAAGTTCACTGACCTCTGCGTTTTTGTTTGTTTTAATATACACATATGCTTTCTCTTCTCTCCAGTTCCACGCCATGGTGATGTCCAACTGGCCCCATCTACTACCTGGGCTGCCTCAGAGGAATCCTTCCCGCCACGTTGCGTTCTTGACCAAACAGCTACAGCACTGTATGGCGTGCCACCAGCTACTGCAGTTTAAGGGCTCCACGCTGGCTTTGGTGATCATCACCTTAGAGCTGGAGAGGCTGACTCCTGAGTGGTTTCCTGTTATTACTGATCTGCTAAAAAAAGCACAGGTAGGGATCAAAACGGCCTTTAGTCACCAACCTGGAGGCCAGGGCACCGATGGGTGAATAAAGCACATGTGTATTGACAACCGACATTGCACTCGAGCAGCCTGCTCCGGAGCGTGTGTCCGTGTTCTGCCTAGTGCTAACGAGAGGGAATAAAACTGCAGTTAGATAAACTGGGGCTGGGGAGAGGGCTTTCCCTTTGGCAGGGGAGGCAGGTTTCCGGATTGCTTGGCCACAGTTAGCTCCCTGCCTGCTGAGCAAGGAGAGATTCTCCCACAACAGGAGTGTCCGAGAGCACCTGAAAACCTACCCGCTGAGTCCCCAGCCTCCCCCGAGGGCTGCGAGCACTTCTGAATACCGATGCGCTGCCTTTAATCCGTGATCAGTCTGGCTTCTAACGATCCACACCGAAGGCAAGCTCTGGTGGTGTGTTGTACAGCTTGTCTCCACTCTCACATCACACTTTTACGAGAGTATACGCAGAGGGCTGAAGACCCCAGCTGTCAGCTTACTGTGGACCCGTTTTGTGGTCTTGAATTTGTCTGAAATAACCTTGCCTCTTGCTGTCCCTGTGTCACCTCCTGAAAGAGGCAGCGCTTGCCCAACTTTTGTGGATAGTTTTGCACCAGGGCCACCGTGCTGATACGCACCGCATCCGGTACAGCCTGTCCCTGCCCTCCCCCTAATTAGTCACAGGAGCAGTGACCACAAGGGAGAGTCCCTCCTCGTGGACTTGGCTAAACCCCACACTTTTCCGTACAGGTTGACAGCACTGAATTCATCCGCTGCAAAGAGCTCGTGGACCAAGAGCTGACGGGCCTGCCGCCATCCAACGCTGTTTACCTTTTCTGTCCGCCATCCAGGCCCATCCCAAGGCAAGGCTACCCGCCCAGGACCCACCTGGATGGAAGAATTCCCATCAAGGGAGGTCGAGGGTCGCACCTTTCACACCTACCACGGCCCAGGCTCCTGCTGACGCCGTGGAGGCGGAGGAGTACTACGATGGATTCGGACGCCTGTACAGTGAGGACGGGGCAGCGAGCGGCGGGAGGGGCAGCTCGGGGGGCTCGTGCCCTCCGCTGGGGCCTGGAGAAGGCAGCTCCCCGTGTCCTCCCTTACGGCCGCCCGAGAGGCACTAGTGGAGTTGGAAGCAGCCCCCTGTGTGAGCACAGGGGACTCGGGCCGCGGTGAAGCCCAAGGAGCTCCCATGAGGCAGGTCAAAGCCGGCTGTGAGGGCCGTGCCGCCGTTGGAGCCACTGCCCCGGGCAGGGAATGCCGCAGGAGCAAGGCTCAGCACCCACTTCTAGACCAGCAGAGGTTTAGGAGGTGCCCGCGCAGCCGGGGCCGGACGTGCGTGGGGTGTGGCATCTGTTCATCCTGCCTATGGCCCCCAGGAAGGTTTTCATTTCAGGGCAGGGCTCTTCCCCCAGTGCAGCACCTTCCTTTTCTATCCCAAGCTGCGACCCGGCTGCCTGCCCTTCGGGAGGAGGCAAGTTGTCTTCTGCGGTTCTCACGACATAAATCACGGGCTTGGTCTGTGCGCTCCGTGCGCTCCTTGGAGCGCCCGGCCAAAAGCCCACGCCCACATCAGCTGGGTGCGTGCCTGGGTCTGCTTTTCCCACCTGGAGCATCTTCCCCAGAGGCACGACCAGGGGCAGTGCTAGCAGGAGCGTTCTACACGCAGCAGTTACCATGCTCTGACTTTCGCCACCACCACCGTCGCTCGCGGGTTTCCGCCAGCTCGGAGACAACGTTCGTCGTTTCTAGCCCGTAACCTGGTTGACACATTAAAAACCAAAAACGGATCTGCGTTCCAAAGCCTCTGCAGGTCTGCGATCAGCGTTCAGCAGAATACACTGATGGGCTCATGCTGAAACTGGGCAGCGCTGAAAGGTCTACCGGGATCCTGCATTCCCAGTCAGGCCGCGAGATGCCAGCTGGGATGGGAACAGCCGACTCTCCCAGGCCGTACTGCTTCCCTCTGGCAGCACAGGTCCTTTCCGCAGGCCTGTTCCGGTGCTGGAGTTACGATAAGGAACTAACGCCTGTGGCTCCACCTCAGCAGGTTAAACTGCCGCTTACTGTTCCTGTCGTCATCGAGAACGGAGCTTCCTGCCCTGAAGAACAAGCTGCAAACTTCGGGAAGAAGCTGCTGGAATGTTGTTGTCAGGGAACGAGCGTTTCTGACAGTGAGAGCTGCCCAAATTCCCTTCAAATTCCCTTCTTGGTGGAAGAAGGGAGTCTGAGGCTGTTGCTATCTTTCCCTTCGCCGCCTGGACAGGTGCCGAGGAAGACCAACACGCATCCAGGCACCGGCAGGAACGGCAGCAACCTTTATGCCCAGCCGGGTTTCGGAGATGGTGGCTGTCTCATTTCTGCGCCTGCACACTACAGACACACGCTTACTCCACCTGCAGCTACACTCCCCGCCGCGGAGCCCGTAACCACTCTGCTGCACACCAGTTACCAGGGCCAACGTGCCGGAATGAGCCGGCACAGGGAGTGCTGGCACAGATCAGATGTACTTAGGGCTACTTTTGGAGGACTCTTGGTTTGGGGAGTATTTGCTCCCTGTAGAACTCCAGAGAGCATTTACAGAGTAATTCCAAAGACCTTACGGTGCCTCACCTCGCCCTGGCACGGCCGGTTGCTGCCTCCCCGAGCACAGCACCGCTCCCCGGCCCGGTTCCGGCCCTCGGCGGAGAAGTGAGGGCGGATTTGTGTCACCAGAGGCAGGATCCATCCCCCCGTGGGAGCCTCGGCCCAGACACACGCAGACCCAGGCTCCTGCTGTTGCCGTACTTCAGGCTGGATTCCAGCTGCCCGAAGTTAACAGCACCTTGTGAACAGTGCTGCAGCTACGCCTGCGATCCCCTACGCTTGTACCCACGAACCTGTTTTGTCCTTCAGGAAGTTTCTGCCTGCTGCACATGGATGCTCAGATTCCGAATCACAAACTGAACCGTAAATTGCCTACAGCAGCGATTCAGAGCCCCCCCGGCCACATCCCCGCTCGTAAACCACCGCCCAGGGGAACGTGGCACGGCTAAGTTAAGCAGAACCGTTACGGGCCAGGATGAAGCTGCCGACCGCGGAACAGCGTCTCCGACAACGAACCTCGGTGCCGCTCCTTACGGTGGGCACGGGGTGACCCAGAAGGGTTCACTCGCACACTGTGCAGCTAAAGTTCCGTGGTCGGAGAGGTGATCGAGGCACCGGAACGCGCAGTATTCCCAACAGTTCTTCTACCGCATTATGGATTTCTGACCAACTCTGCTGGTACGTCAGAGAAACGCACAGCAGCTGGGATCACAAAGATCCTCCGGAGCAGGCGGCAGCCTGCCCCGAGACGGCACCGCCACCAAGCACTTTCCGACACGTGTAAAGCCTTTTCCGGGGTTATTCCTTCGGGACGCCTTTCCCTCACCCGTGGGGCTGGGTCGCGAGGGAACGAGTTCAGCGCTCTACGTGTCTGCTCTGGGAGGTTGGATTTTTTTGTTCTTTGGGGGTTTTTTTGGCTACTTGGCTTTCTGTTTCAAATTCAGTTTGACCAGTACTTACAGTTCGAGTCCTTAAGAACGCAGCACAGCACACTGAGCCCAAGTGATGCGTTAGCTCCTGGCAGGTCTCGGCAGCTCCCCCTTGCTCTTCCTCAGCCAGACGGCAACTTGAATCCCACCGGTGACCACACGACGGTCGTGGCACACGGAACGTAATCAGAGCTTCTGAGGAATTTGGAAAGAAGCTTTTACTCCCGAGTCACCTATCCAGCTGGGGATTGAACTCGACCAGAGCTCCAAACTGGATGAGGGCTTTGCCAAGGGAATTAGATCAGTTTGCCTCAAAAGAGAACGTGGATAAGTATAAAAGTGTCACCAAAGCAGCAGCAAAGGGCGTTTCACTGCTCAGCTGAGCCTCATGGTCACGCTCTGCTCCAGCTTTCCTTCGGTGCAGGGCACAGCAGACAGCGCCATCCAAAATGGACTTCTGGCTCTGGATCCACGGGCTCTCGGAGCCCCTGGGCAGAGCCTTGCTGCTCCTCACTAGGTCCCACTCCAGAGGAACACGTGGTGCCTTGGCCCTGCCTGCTGCGGGATGAACACGCTTGCCATGGGGCTCGGTCCCCACTGCCCACAAGTGGCAGGAGTCTCCAGAGCTTCCCCGCATCCCCGGTTTAATTGTTTTCAGGCCACATACCTGTTACACACAGAGATTTACTTCCAGGGTCTAAATTATGCCAAGGGCATCCGGAGGATTCAGCGGCTGTCACCAACAACACACCCCAGGGAGCAGGAGCTCAGCGCCTGCGGCAGCCCCTGCGCCCTCCTCGCTGTCTCAGACTCGGTGAAGCTGGAGATCCAGCCTGCCCAGGGGGCTCCTGCCACCCCCCGGCTTGTCACAGCCAGCACAAGGCCGGGCCTGGGGTGCAAGGTTCCCCCGAGCTCCTACCAAGGGCGAGTTTTCTGCCGGTCCCCAGGACGGCAGCGGCATGAAAAGGGGGAGGGAGCCTGCAGGCAGCAGCCCCCCAAGACGTACGGGGGTGCGAGGGCAACGTCCCACTTGGGACGGGGATACAGAGGTAACGGGGTTAACAGGGGGAACTGGAGCAGCAGCGAGGGATGCGGATTCGGAGGCAGCGGTTGCTGTAACCTGGGCACAAACCATGTTTTTAACAGCTGTTCGTTAAACAAGTCAGTTTTGTTTTTATTAAACCCAACTTTGGTACAGGCAGGTCATTCCTGAGACTCATTTAGAAGGTTGTTTTAAAGCCAGGATGAACTGGGGCCTCTCCCTGCTCCCGTGACGTTCGGCTGGGGCACGGGCAAATATGGGGGGCAGGGGGGGGCAGTGTTAAACAGGGGAAGTTGGGCTGTTAGAGAACTCACACCCAGGAACTCCCGGTCTCCAGCTTTAAACCGTTTCACCTCCGTTAACACGTAACATTTAGTCGTCCTGTGAAGGTTCCGTCCTCACCCCCATCCCAGCAGGATGAGCTGGGCTCGGCAGGTTACCCGTCAGCAGGGAGCTCCGGGGAAGGGGTGAAGCTGTGAGGTAGGAAAACTAAAAAAGCGGGGAGGAACTTTGGTTATAAAACCTGTAAATCTATGGGAAAAAAGGCTAGAGGGAAGAGTTATTGCTAAGAATCCAGCTGGAAGGTTAGGGATATTAGGAGCTTCTCCAGCTGCACCCCAGAACTGGGGTGACACGCGGAAACCCGGCGCCTCGCGCCAGCCCTGGGTGGGGTCGGCGTTAAACCCCTGCGAGGGCTCTCGCCCGGGGAGGAGCGGTTTGGGTTTAGTGCAAAGCCGCGCAGCAGCCTCGATTAGCGGTTTTATCTTTTGGCAAGTGGCTTTAGATTTCAAGTATAGCGAGAAACCTGGTCGGGCAAACTCCTCCCCATCAGAAGACCTGGTGCATCTCAGTCCTTGCTACATTATCTCTTCTGTGCAACACACTGCAAGCTTAGAGGTGAAAGCACCAATTAATTTCTTCTGCATGAGATGTTTTGGCCTTAATAAATCTTCTAATTAACGTGTCTTCCTGATGTTATGGAGCAGGCACTGGGAAGACTAAAAAAGCTACAGAAAGAACAAAAGAGAATCAGTATTTAGGTTTCGGTTCTTCGAAGACAGAACGTGAGCTCCAAGCGCGCGTCTAACGCCGGCAGCACGCGGGGCCGCGTACGGGCGCTGAAATCAAACCATCGCAGCTTGGAGAAGCTCTCGAGACCTCGTTTGGGACAGGTAATCAGAGGATCCACTTAAATTTTAATGAGGAAAGACTATGGAGAAGGAACATCTGGGAAGTGATGGGGGGAGCCGCGGGGCTGTCTCCAGCCTGGCCAGGACGGCAGCGGCCCACGCCGGGGGGCTTTGCTCTGTCTGTGCCTCACATCCCTCCCCGCTGTGTGGGTCTCCCTGTCACACAGCCCGGGACAAGGAGATGAGGCTGGGTTTGGGTTGTTTCCAGAACGGAAAGCATCCCTGGGCCTCAGGCACGAGGCTTCGGCTCGGGAAGCGCAAACCACGGGCAGCGCCTACCTCACGGCTGAGCTGCGTTCATAACTGCGCTCGGCACGTCCCCTCCTCCTGCCCGCAGCTCTAGGAGCTTTGCACAAGCATCAGCAAGTGCGTTTACC